TATCATATCTCAACTTGTCTCAGAGTGGGGTGGGTCGGGAAGGAGAGAGAGCTTTTTTTCTCTTTTTAAAATTTTATTTGATCTTTTGCTTTTAAATACTTTAAAAGATTAAAATTAAAGAGTTGACCATAGTTATAACAATGGACATGCGTCAAGTCTTAAGAATGGTGTACATATTGGGGTACACAATTCAATATATCCTTTTTGGTCATTTTATATTAGGGTAAATTAGTAATTCAATAAATAGTTTGATAGTATGGGTATGGTGTACTCAGTTAATTTTAGGGTTTTTTTAGCAGCACTCTTTATTTAATGAATATTTCAAACCTTTAATTAATGCTAACTATTTTTTATATTATTTTTTAATAGAGTTGAACCAATTAAAAAAAAGTTATAACATTTATGACTCCCTAAACTAGAGAGCATGATTGGAGTTTAAATTTTATAGAGAGCTCCTAAAATAACTTTTATATGTTTTTAGCTAAAATTTAACAAAAAAAATAGAGAGCATGATTGTGGATGCTCTAAGGTGGTCAATGTTGTATGTCTAAATAGCATTACTCTTTTCAAAAACAGTTTACCAAACGACTAATAGCTTTTTTTCACAGCTGATTATTTTCGCAACACAGCCTAAGCAGTTTTTTTTAAAAGCACAGCAACGCCAAACTAGCCCTAAGTTCCCTGTAGGTGAAGACAAAACAATTAATATCATATCACAAAGTCAAAATATAAAATATCAATTTATCAAATTTTAAACACCTTTGAGCAAACTAGAGATTATTTGTATCTTGAGTATTTTATATATTACAATGTGCCACTTTTGATTCAGACAAACTAAGTAAGTGATCCTTAATCAAAAGTGCAATTTTATCCATACAACTCATCCATTAAGAAATAACAACACCAACACAACATCCTTATTTCTTAAAGTAAGTTCTAAACTTCATATAGCATGACATTTTCCTCATATTAAAACAAAACTTTATCCAAATAATTCTCCATGCAAAATCCCAAGCTTTTCTTGAGGCAATCATTCAAAATTATCCTTTCTTGAGTGACGAGATCATATTTCTTAATATCAAGCATGAATATTGTAGCATGACATATAATTTGATGTCAAACGACACTAACAATTGAAAACTGCAATGCAAATTTTATGACAATAAAATTGTGATATTCCTTAAGTGCAAGATTAAACATTTGTGTATACTGAAGTATGTAAAAATATAATCACAAAAACACATTTATCTTTATACTTGATATTCAAAACTGAAAGCATCAAATATAACACCAATCATGCCTTAAAACACTTGCAACAGTACACCAAACCATTTATCATTTTCTCTAACCTAACACCTAAAGATCAATCCCTTTACATGCGAAATTGTATCAATGTTATAAATATTCACTTAAGTGCACATGACTAAACAACAAAGCATCAACCATATCCACACATAAGCAAGAGATATAAGTATAACCAAGCAAGAAAATTTCATAATAGCTCAGGTTTCCCCTCATTTGATCAACCAGAATTTAGGTATTCCACAATAAAAACTCATGCATGGCTTCTTTATAATCGTCAAATACATCCTATTGGTTTTTCTCATATTTCTCACACTTCAAAGTTTATGTTGAGTCTCGCTTTCTTCAGTGAGTTTCTACTTTTCTTCCCTCAGAGCTAAGTTATGATCTAAGACTAAGAGACTTAAAGCAATATTTAAATCTTGCCTTAACTTCCCAAAATTGCTATCAGTCAAGGTTCAATGGAATTGATAGCAAAAAGATTTGCAACTTAAAACACAAAATTTTACAATGCAATTAATCTTTACCCCAAAACTTTATGCATACATGATAAACATATGCGGATAGTGTTCAGTTCATTTTTACACATGATTTTTCATGTTATTCACCCACTATTTTGAGTTAGTTCTTGTCATTTTATAGCTTTTTACTTCCTTTTTGTGTTTTCTTAGATTTTACCTTGGTTGGGATGAAAATGAGCTAAAAGTGCATTATTAGTTATAAATTCTGTTTTTGTTCATTTTCGTAGGTCAACTTCTTGGCCTGGGATCAACATGCTCTGGTGCTCGGATGAGGTCATGATCTTCATGAGACTTGTTCCAATGGATGTTAACTACAACATATCCAAATTTGAGCTCCATTGGACAAGTATTGCCTATCCAACCAATCCAGCATGTTACCACAGCTCTGGAAATCCGGATTTGGCCAGCTTTTACCTCCTTTGTGTCATCTTAATTTCTTGTTACCATAACTCTTGGTAACA